CGCCGATGTTTCTGCTACTGCATGATACAGCAGCGAGGGGTTCGGCTTGTCATGAGACAAAAAAACGACTTGACACAGCTCATGAAGATGCTGTGAGCGCACGAGCAATTCAAACAACCACAGAAATCGATCGCTGCAATCGATTGACACATGGGCATTAGGCAAGGCTAGTGGTTGGACACATTCATCTGACGCGAACATGAATACAGACACCACGCTCTGACGATGGAAGCAGGCACGCTTTTGAAACGTCAGCCAAAATACACCTTGGTCCCAGAAATCGTCTTTTCTTTTTTCCTCTTCCGGGGATGATGAAAGGAATATGTAAGTACCTTTTTTGATTATTAATCACAGACAAAAAGCAACCTCGCAAGAAAGCTCTACCGAATTCCGCAGACATATGCCGTCCTATTTGTGTAACTTTGTAGGCGTCGTTAGTGATTTCACTAGAAATCATTAACTTCAAGTAAGCCCTCCACTTTGGCTCTTAATTCACCGTCTTTGGGTCCAATAAATGACATTAAGAATCGGTATAAAGCTTGCTGACTTGCGCGAATACTGTTTGCTTCGCTATCACGGCATTCGCCAAGTCACGCAGTGAGTATAAAAGTATGCATAAAAGGTGCAACTTGGGGGTCGTCTGTTCTACACGGACCAAGCAAAAAAGGCTAAGCTGGGGTTTAACTTACCATTTAAGAAGAAAGGCGTTGTTAATGGTCGCTGATGCAGACGATGCAACTTTATACTCACAGCCCATGTCGGGTGGCTGAACTAAGTGGCGTCGTGTGGCTGCAAACGACTGGTGCGGTTGCAGTAGTGCTGAGCACAGCTCTTGAGGGGTGGTGGTGGTGGTGTTGGTGGCTGGGTTGTGGCCCGACTGAAAGGGCAACAAAACACTTCATGCTACTGTACTGAAGAAGCAGGTCAAAGGGTCAGTTACATGCCCCGAGGCCAATACATCAATAATATTTTCTCAAGAAAGGTTCACTGAAGGTTGACTGAGTCTGAAAGACTGTGTATGAGCATGGGAGATGCACGCGTTGGTTACCGGGGTTCTCATCAGAACTCCAAATTGTAAACACCTGACGGCGGTGGTAGTGGTGGTAGTGGCGGTGTTGGTGTTGGTGGCGGTGGTGGTTTTCGTGGTGGTGGTGGTGGTGGTGTTGGTGGTGGTAGTGGTAGTGGTAGTTTCGGTTGTGGTGGTGTTGGTGGTTGTGGTGATGCTTTTGGTGACGGTGGCTGGGTTGTGGCCCGACTGCAAGGGCAACAAAATACTTCATGGTACAGTAGGTTACCTAACTCATGAAATCTAATTATTTTCACAAGTAACTCCCTGTAACTAAGACGCAGCCCAAGCTGCGGCCCCCAAAGTCTGACAGCAATAAAGTAATGGTCCTTCTTCACAATAGGGCATATTGTGATTTATGAAGGAATATAAAGTTTTGTAGTAACAACCGCTTTTCTAGCAAAGTGGAAAATTTCGAAATAGTTGAAGTCGGGCGTTCTAGGTAAACTTAAGTCTTTCATGTAGAGGAAGCCCGTTCATGTAAAAACACCGAGTAAATAAAGCAGCACAAGAAGATAAGTCGTTCTCTGGGACCAGGAGTCCATTTGTCCGACGTTTCGAACTCTCCCGCGAGCTCATTGTCAAGAAATGAAAAAACGTACAGCTCACAGTGTAATGAAGTCAGTGCAGCGGGGATTGACCTCTGCCCTTGACCTCTGCCCTCGATCTGCTCGCGCAACGCGAGGTAGGCCTCAGGAAGCTCGACAAATACACTCCTGGTCCCAGAGAACGTCTTATCTTCTTCTATCCAGTTACCTGGGCCTCGCATATTCTCGACCATTCAGAAAGCAGCACAAGTAAAATTACGTTGGAAAATAATACTTTTGTAAAGATTTCAGATACATATCCTTCCATATCACATGCAATGTAATGTTTGGCTGTTACCGAACAGCCCAAATATTGAGCATGCATTCTAACACGCTTTCACGAGAACTGCTAGTTGTTTCTTTCGTTTATGTATCGCTTGAATTACTTCGGACTAAGACAACCACGTTTTCGCTCGATATGGCCCATTAGGAGATCACAGGAGTTATATATTTCTTAAGCTCACATGCGGACATGCCGGTCAGTGACTAAATGGAATTGTCAGGTTTAATTGTAAGCGTACCCATTTTTGTAGAATAAGAGTAATTGCCTTCCGCCACATTTTTTGTAATTATTTTGAGATTTCAATTACGAAAAGGTTCAGGTCTTCCTGGAAATGCTAATCAAGACTTTACGATTTTCACTGGTCTCAATCAATTGACCATAAATAATGATTCTTATCTACGTGGTTACCAAAGCCTTTAAAATAAGATATAACTCGAAGACATTTACCTAAATAACGAGCTCTTAAACATTTTTTGTCTTAAGATACTGTCTATGTGTGTCATGGTTTCAGAACCACCCACACATGTCAACTCATTGCCGAGAAAAAAGAAGGTCCACAATAAAAGTCACGAATAAATATGACTAAGACTGATTTAAAAAAATTTCCATAACAATTTACCTCTTGCAAAACAGCTTTAGTGGTATATTTTGGCGTCGGCTATCTGCGTACTTTATTTCTTATGAAGATTTAGTCAAGATCACAATGGGAAATTTTCGCCAGTTTATTGATTCCCCTAAAAATTATGCACACATCTTCTGTTATAAATGAAAGAGCTAACTTTGCTATTTAAATCGGAATAGTTTTCCGTATATTTAGTTACTTCTGGGCTCGGTTCTACGATAACAAATGCAAAGCAGAGTGGCAATAATATCAACGGCGATTTTTGAGAAAACTGT